AGGCCGACTGGTCTGCCTTGTTGGAGAGGCCCGTGGTCAGCGAGCTCTGCAGCGCTGCGATGCTGCTTCCGTGCGCGACCACCTGACCGTCCGTGGTGGCCAGGGCCGCAGCCGTTGCTAGGGGCGCAATCGCCGGCGCCAGCGCGCTGCTGTCCAGCTTTGAGGCCAGCTCGGCGGTGACTCGGACGTCCAGGGACTGGATGGCAGCGGCGTTGTTGCCTGAGGCTGCCGTGTTCACCGCCAGGTCAGCCACTTGAGCGTAGGGAGTCAGAGCGAGGGCCAGCTGTCCGGCTGTGACGTGCGTGCCGTCAGTCACCTCTCCGTTGTCCAGGACCTCGGGGATGTTGCCCGTGACAGGTCCTTCAAACATGTTTACATATGTTCTCGCCGACGCCTTAGTCCAGTGGCTATGGGACATTCGGGGGGTCCCGTGCTACCAGTACGCGGTCCTTCAAACATGTTTTCTTAGGACGATTTCGTGTCGATGGGACATTGCACTTTCGCAACACCTCTATTCGCCGGGTGTTCTGATTGTATATCGACTCGCACGCTGAATTGGAAGTGGAGTGTAAAATCACCCACTTGGCATGAGGCGATGAATTGGCAGTGGAGGATAAAAACACCCACTGGGCATGAGGCGATGAATTGGAAGTGGAGGATAAAATCGCCCACTTGGCATGAGGCGATGAATTGGCCGAAGTGGCGCAGTGTCCTATAAGATCGGACTCTGGGCATGAGGCGATGAATTGGCCGAAAATGTCGGTCAAAAGCGCTTGGGGCACCTCGGCCACATGACGAGACCTGAGCCAACCTTGCCCAGACAAGCATACTGGCTGGAATGCGATTGAGGGGAAATAACCCTCAATTCAACTTCCCGTGCTACCAGTACGCGAACTCGCCAGAGAACTCGCTTTTCCAAGCCTTTTGCGCACTTTTCGGCCCCAAAGAGAGCGGCAGATTCTCACTGTTTGAGAAACTGCTTCTAAAGTTTTTGGGCCAAAAAGCGCCGTTTTGGACAGGTAGCGAGAGCCCATAGTGAGATGGTTTAAGCGTTGCGCTGCTCTCCGTAGCGACGTTTCGGAGGCTCGATTCCTCCCGGGGCCTCGGCGGGCTGACGTGTTAGAGATCGGTGACTTCGGCGGTGACAAGCTCGGCGGGCTGACGCGTTACGTGGAAAAACCTCGGCGGGCTGACGTGTTACTCGGAAGCACCTCGGCGGGCTGCCGCGTCAGACGCTGGCTGGCTCTGGGCTGTGCCTCGGCGGGCTGACGTGTTAGAGACCGGTGACTTCGGCGGTGACGAGCTCGGCGGGCTGACGCGTTACGTGGAAAAACCTCGGCGGGCTGACGTGTTACTCGGAAGCACCTCGGCGGGCTGCCGCGTCAGACGCTGGCTGTCTCTGGGCTGTGCCTCGGCGGGCTGACGTGTTAGAGACCGGTGACTTCGGCGGTGACAAGCTCGGCGGGCTGGAATTCGCAGGTTTTTCGGGGCAGAATACGGATTTCGGAGCACTGCAAACACCTGCAACCGGTTTTCGCAGGAAAACGAGCGAATTTGAGGCCCGGGCTGCACTTTTGACGCAGGACACGAAAAAACGCACTTTTCGGAGTTCGCCGTTTTCAGCGCTTTTTGCACCCAAAACGGAGTGGTGACATTGAACGGTGACATCGGAAAAACGTTCAGCGGGTTGAAGAATTTGGCTGTTTTGCAGGGTTTTGGGACCAAAATCCGAAAATTAATTGGATACTATAAGCCTTCTTTCCTTACTACTGAGCGCGTTGAGGAGCTGGAGCGCAGCAACAGAATTCTCCGCCTGCGGGTGGCGCAGCTCGGCGAGATCCTCGCGCAAGCGCACAGATGAGCTTGAGGAAAAAGCTCTCGTTTTCTCGTCTTAATGATTCGATCCGCCGCAGCTGCTCAAGATGACTTCCTTGGCGGCCTTCCGATGCGTGCAGGCATGGTTTATGGAGCCCGCCGTGTGGGCGGAGGAGGACGTTGCCAGCCTTGCGGCCGCTCTGATGGTCCAGCGGCCTCCCGCGCGGCCTTATCGAGGAGCTCGATGCGGCGGCGCTGGTGCGAGCGCTCGGCCTCGAGCAGCGCGTCTTCGCGAGGCCGCTTGGTGGGAGGCCGCTGGGCCATCTGAGCAGCCGCAAGGCAGGGATCGTCCGCCCACGCGGTGGGCTTTTCCAGAAGCCATGCCTGCACGCAACGGAAGGCCGCCGAGGAAGTCATCTTGAGCAGCTGCGGCGGGTGATCGAGCATTTGGCCATTTGAGCATTTGGCGGGCTTTTTTTCTTTGCGCGAGTCCAAGCTCGTCAGTGCGTTCGCCTGCGAAGATTTCTGTTCCTCGAGGATCGCGGCGCTCCAGCGCCTCACGGCGGGTCTCGCGGTTGGCCTCCCCCTCAAGCTGAGCAGCCCGCTCCCGCGCCATCTGCAGTTCCGCCAGATATCGCTCACAGCGTTCGTAGAGCTGCTCCAGCACCCCGAGGAGAGTCCCACTGCGCGCAGCTTCGGCGATGAGATCCTCTTCAAGGTACTCGATGCGGAGCCGGTAGTACAGACGCTCGGCCTGGAGCAGTGCATCCTCGCGACACTCGCAGGAAGTCTTGGAAGAGGCGAGATCTGCGCGGCTCTTCGCACCCCGGCCACGCGCGTACAGCGGGCTGAGCTTGCCCTGCGCTGGTTCGAGAGCGACATCACGTGGTACGGGCGGTGGGAAAATTGGAAAGTCAGAGATGACGAGGGCTCGCCGAGCAGCCCCCGAACCGACGTGAAGGAGCTCATCAGGCGGAGCTGTAGAGACGTAGAGGCACAGTCAAAAAGGAGGTGGGAGCCTGGGGCGCGGTTCGGGAACTGAGTTTTCGGGGACTTTTCGGAGATCCCTGTGCACCACCTTTTCCGGCCACCCCTCCAAGCCAAACCTCGCCCCCATCTCCCCGCTCTCGGCGGAGACTACCCTGTATACCTTTTCGCTCCAGGTATCTCGTTGACCCTGTAGGAGCCCCTGCTTTCGATCGGCTTAACCCTGATCCGAACCATATCCCAGGCTACACGGAGCACTTCGAGATTTTGCAGTACGTCTACGACCTACACCTCTGGACGGATCTTGGCTCCAAGCGCAGCTTGGGCAGGGGAGTGCCCATGAGGCTGATGATGGCCGGCTCAAGCTTCAGCCCCATCTACTGGAAGCGCGTCTCGAAGTGCTCCGTGTAGCCTAGCAGACAGCCCAAGGCCAGCGCGCCGTAGAGGCGCTTAATGCTGTGGCGGACCAGGCCGTCTTCCTCTTCCGCCTCGGCCTCTCCAGCTCCCTCTTCTTCACCCGCCTCCAAGCGGGCTGCGGGCCGCAGCGCCTCCTCCAAAGTCTCGCCCCGCTGCCTGCGCGGGTCTGTGGCCCGCTCGTTGCTGAACGTCTGGTCGAGCCGCCAGAACAGGCAGGGCCACAGGGCGCACTCCAAGCCCGGCTCCTCCAGGAAAGCTAGCCGGCGACGCCGGGCCTTCGGGGTTCTCTCGTAAGAACTCTTTGTGCTCCCTTACGAACTTGCCGTAGGCGGAGTCCTCGCTGTGCTTCAAGAGCTTGTAGGCCGCCTTGGCTTTGCGCCGCATCTCCCGGTCACCCAGGCCCTTGACGGCCTCCTTGACGGGCTCCTCTTTCCAGTAGAACCTCAATCATGGCCACGTGCGCGCGGTAGCCTGTGCCGTGCTTCGCGCGGCGCTCGTAGCCTGCATCAATCTGTAAAGGGCTCAGCACCTTGGCCGCCTCCTCGCTTAAGCCCTTCAGCGGCTCTGGGACGTCCTCAAGCTTGGGCGTCGGTGTCTGCCGGCTGCCGCGGCAGCGGGGGCACTGCAAGGCTGGCGCAGTCAACTTCTGGTCCCGGGTCAGGGCCTTCTGTGTCAGATCCCGCGCCAGCATCAGTCCGCAGCTTTCGCATTGGGCCCAGCTGTAGTAGAGGGCCCATCTTTCCAGGCCCGCTGCTCGGGCCGAGCGCTTGGCCGGCGGCAGCGGGGCTTCGTTGTCCACCACCGTGCCCGGGGCCGTCCTTTCCTTGGGCCGCCCGGCGTGCTTGCGTCCGCGGGCCCTGTCTGCCAGCACTTGCTCGCGATAAGCCTTCTTCTCCGCCGCCGTGGCCCCGGCCTTGCTGGACTGCCGCTTTGCTAGGGCTGTCGCCCACCGCGTCTTGAGCTCCTCCGCGGTGGTCTGGGCAGCCGGACGGCGGCCCAAGCGCTTGGGCTTGACTGGCCGCAGTAGTTGCTTTATCTCCTCCTTGACGTCCGCAGAGATCCTTTCCGCAAGCATCTTTTCCCTGGCGGCTGGGCTCATCTGCTTCAGCGCGTTGGCCACTTCCTTGCGCCCAGCCGCCGAGTCGTACTTCACGCCCAGCGCCGCGGGGTCGCAGAAAAGACAAACTGCCGCTCCGCGTTTATGAATTTGCGCCGGGCCGCCTTTCTGGCTCAGAGCAAAGATGCAGGGCTCGTCTTCGAAGCCGGCGCAGAACCTGCTATGGCCTAAGCCGTTGCGGAAATGCTGGCGGAACTCCTCCGAGATCAGTTCTTCCAGAGCAATCCAGCGCAGGTTCGGGTCGGTCATCGCTTTCAGACTCTGCAAGATAGAGCTCCGGCCCGCCGCTGTGAGGCAGGCGGCTTCCATGGCCTCGTAGTCGCAGAAGACGCATAGATCCTTGTTGGGGCCGACTTGAGCTCGGCCACCGTTCTTTGCCCAGCAGCACTCGAGATTCTGGCACAGGCGCGGCATTGCAAGCCGAGGGAGTGTTCTAGTGGCTTGTCTACTTCTGAGACTACTGGGTTAACACCAAACTGCGGGATTCGTCCAACAGGATGACAAACACGCCGACAACCTCAGCAGCACGCGCGCGCCCTAAGCAGGCTTGTCTTGCCCGAGCGGGCGCTTCAGGCGTGCTTGCTGTCAATTGTTTTTCCGCACACCAGGCTACGTCCAGTCTGTTGTTGCTGGGAACAGCTTTCTGGAGCACTTTTTGCTCGCGCTAATCTACATGAAAGCCAGCAGGATCTACAAACTCGTCTGGAACAAAGAGCGAGCCCTCAAAACCGTCGATCACAAAAAGTAGCAGGATGCCTTCACTGCCGCCCCGCGCCTCCTCAAGAAGATTTTGAGAGAATAAGCCAACGTCAAGCCGGCTTGCCGCGGCTGCCAGGAAGCGCGCTGCCCTCCGCGCGCGCGCAGGAAACTCACGCGCGGCCGCGTCGAGGTAGATAACATCCTCGTAGTCCATGTCCGCCAAGTGGACGGCAACATTCCAGTCTCCCGCCGCCGGCCGCAGCGCCCAGTGACGTAACGCCGCCGCCTCGTAGTTCTCGCATGGCCAAGATGCCCACTGCAGTGCTGCGCGAGTAGGCTCCATCAACAGAGGCCACTGCAAGACCTCTTGGGTCAGGGGTCGCAGCCGCGCTTGCAGCTCCGACAGCCTTCTCAGACGCTTTTCCTGTCCGGCTCCGCAGCGTAGCCAGGCAGCGCCGTCTGCTGCTGACAACCAGCCCAGAATTGCCCCGCGCAGAATCTCCGGCAGCCCCTGCAAGGCGGTCATGCTGGGCTTCTACACGCGTGCTTACAGGTGCTTGAGCCAGTGTTTCCTTGCCCTTACCTTTCTGCGAATAACACCTGCACCGACACCCCAAGCGCCTCCGAACTGCATGTGCCGGGCAACACTCACGCCCATGCGCCGAATCCTTTTTTACGCCGCATTCCTTACTGTTGCAAGGCTCTCTGTCTAAGAATGCAAGCTAGGGCCGTCTCTGTGCTTTCGCCGGCCCCGTGGTGTTCCTTGCGCTGGCCCTTCACTCCTGCGGGAGCGGCTGCCCCTGCTGCGCGGCCCAGAAGCCCTTGCCCGCCGCGATGATGTCCTGCATGCGGTGCGCCACCGCATCCCGTGCCTCTGCTTTGGCCGGCAGCTTCTTCACTTTGACCCCAAAGGCCTCCCTCACTTCGACAGGCACATAGTTCAGGTGCTTGGCAAAGTCTTCCTGCGTCGCTGCCGCGCTCTTCAAAACCTCCTTGAAAAGCTGCCACTCCCCTTCCGCAGATGGAATTTCAGAGAGTTGCCATTTGCTCAAGACCTCTGTCTGCTCTTCGTCGGGGTCTTCTGGCTCCGGCGAGTCCACCAGTACCTCTGCGCTCGCGGGCTTAGCCTTGTCCTTGCCCTTCTGCTTGCCCCGCTGCTTCTTGTCCGCCTTCTTCTTGTCACGCTCCTTCGCTGCCTCCTTCGTCTTCTGCTTCTTCTTTTTCTTTTTCTTCTCTTCGGAGGATGTGGAGTCGTGCCGCTGCCCGCTCTCCTGACTCGAGTCCTCCTTGTCGGTCGCCTCCTCGTCCTCGCTGTCCGCCGCAGACGAGTCCTCGAGCTTGGGCTTCTTCCTCTTGCGCGTCAGCGACTGCTCGGAGAGCAGGCTCGCCGCCGCCGCCTCCAACAGCGCCCTGTAGCGCTTTGCCGTAGGCTTCTTCTTGAACGCGCCCGCCGCCACTGCCGCCTCCTTCTCCGTGTTCATCTGCTACGCCCACTCCTCCATATACTGCGCCAGCGCCATCTGCTCCAGCGCGCTGGCCCCCAGCACAAACATGCGTGCCGCGCAGAGCACCATGCGGCGGGCCTCCTTGATTTTCGCTTCCGGGTCGTTCGTCAGGAAGTCGAGGTAGTTGGCGACGTGCTCGGCCGCCTTCGCGACGTCCTTCTCCGTCTCGTCGTCCTTGTTGAAAAAGCAGCACGCCTCCACGAACTTGGCTCCCTCGCCCTCGCGCAGGCGCTCCACGAAGCCGGCGCCGAACTTTTCCAGGGCGAGGTTGTCCTTCAGATATTCAGCCGCGTGCGCCACGCACGCGCCCTCCTCCGACAGATAGGTAGGCATTCGCCCGAGCGCCTCGCAGTTTGCGGAGGACCGCGACTTTGCCAGGCGCGCGGGCTTCAGCAGATCCTGTTCTGTCTTTGCTCCTTTGGCTCTGGGGATCCACAGGAAGTTGCCCGCGCTGTCCGGAAAGGGCCGCAGCACGCTCTTGGCGAAGTGGCTGTAGAAGGGCACGGCGTTCTGCGTCTGCGTCTCGCCCGCTCCTCGCCGACTCTTCTTTACAGCTCGGGCGCTCTTCTGCATGGCGCCGGAAAAAGGCCGCGCTCCTAACGACTGGCCTGCTGCTTCCTACTTGTTCTCGATGGCTGCGGGATTCGGCTCTACACTAACTGACGCACAGCGCTCTGCAGCCGTTCCGCGTTCGGTCTGCGGACGTGCTCGCACTTTTTCTCGCCAGCGCTCTCTCTGTCTCGTGACCCGAGCTGCGCCTTATCCGGGCGAGCTGGCTTAGTTGAAACATCGACGCTCGCGCCTCTTTGTCGCGAGCTCGACCGGTCAGACCTTGACTCTACAAGTTGCGAAACCGTCTCTGCGCCTCGTGCCGGCCCCGCAGTTACTGGCGCTGGCTGGCTGTTTTTTGCCGCCGCTCTACATTGCCGGGAAGGTCGCCGACAAGGCGCTGAACTCAAAGATTGAGGCGCTCTTGGCTTCGCCGCGTTCACACCTCAGGCGCGCGCGGCTACTGGACTGCTCCGCCGCGTTGAGGCGAGCGCCCGTTGGAGCAGAGCTAAGAAGGACTGCGGCTGACAATCGGCTTGAGCCAAAAAGCACTTGTTGGAAGCAGCGTCTGATTAATGGCGGGATGAACAACCTTTTTCTCCTCTTCGAGACAAGCATATGACTACTGGCAGGATCAACCAGGTTGTTTGCTTTTGTTTCTTTCTTCTCGTTCTTTTCTTTTCTTTCTTTCCTTTTCCAGTTTTTTCTTTTCTAATTCTCTTCTTTTTTCAATATGATTTGTTGCGACTTTTCCGAGAAGAAATTTCGTCGTTGTTGCGGAATGTTCCGCGTTTCGTTTCATTTTTTCTTTCGTTTTCCGTTTTTCTCTCTTTGAGACAAGCATATGACTACTGGCAGGATCAACCAGGTTGTTTACTTTTGTTTTCTTTCTTCTCGTTCTTTTCTTTCTTTCTTTCCTTTTCCAGTTTTTTCTTTTCTAATTCTCTTCTTTTTTCAATATGATTTGTTGCGACTTTTCCGAGAAGAAATTTCGTCGTTGTTGCGGAATGTTCCGCGTTTCGTTTCATTTTTTCTTTCGTTTTCCGTTTTTCTCTCTTTGAGACAAGCATATGACTACTGGCAGGATCAACCAGGTTGTTTACTTTCGTTTTCTTTCTTCTCGTTCTGTTCTTTTCTTTCTTTCCTTTTCTTTTCTTTTTTCTCAGTTCTTTCTTTTCTAATTGTCTTCCTTTTTCAAAATGATTTGTTGGTATCTTTTCGAGAAGAAATTTCGTTGTTGTTGCGGAATGTTCCGCGTTTTGTTTCATTTTTTTCTTTCGTTTTCCGTTTTTCTCTCTTTGAGACAAGCATATGACTACTGGCAGGATCAACCAGGTTGTTTACTTTCGTTTTCTTTCTTCTCAGTTCTTTCTATTTTTTTAAAATGATTTGTTGCTACTTTTTCGAGAAGAAATTTCATTGTTGTTGCGGAATGTTCCGCGTTTCGTTTCATTTTTTCTTTCGTTTTCCGTTTTTCTCTCTTTGAGACAAGCATATGACTACTGGCAGGATCAACCAGGTTGTTTACTTTTGTTTTTTCTCTTCTCGTTCTTTTCTTTCTTTCCTTTTCTTTTCTTTTTTCTCAGTTCTTTCTTTTCTAATTAATTGTCTTCCTTTTTCAAAATGATTTGTTGGTATCTTTTCGAGAAGAAATTTCGTTGTTGCTGCGGAATGTTCCGCGTTTCGTTTCATTTGTTCTTTCGTTTTCCGTTTTTCTTTCTTTGAGACAAGCATATGACTACTGGCAGGATCAACCAGGTTGTTTACTTTCGTTTTCTTTCTTCTCGTTCTGTTCTTTTCTTTCTTTTCTTTTCTTTCCTTTTTTCTCAGTTCTTTCTTTTCTAATTCTCTTCTTTTTTCAAAATGATTTGTTGCTAGTTTTTCGAGAAGAAATTTCGTTGTTATTGCGGAATGTTCCGCGTTTCGTTTCATTTTTTCTTTCGTTTTCCTTTTTTCTTTCTTTGAGACAAGCATATGATTACTGGCAGGATCAACCAGGTTGTTTACTGTTGTTTTCTTTCTTCTTGTTCTTTTCTTTTTCTTCTTTCCTTTTCTTTTCTTTTTTCTCATTTTTTTTCCAAATGATTTGGAAGAAATTTCGTTGTTGTTGCGGAATGTTCCGCGTTTCGTTTCATTTTTCCTTTTCGTTTTCCGTTTTCTTTCTTTGAGACAAGCATATGACTACTGGCAGGATCAACCAGGTTGTTTACCTTTGTTTTCTTTCTTCTTGTTCTTTTCTTTTTCTTCTTTCCTTTTCTTTTCTTTTTTCTCAATTTTTTCTTTCTTTCCAAATGATTTGGTGCTATTTTTTCGAGAAGAAATTTCGTTGTTGCTGCGGAATGTTCTGCGTTTCGTTTCATTTTTCCTTTTCGTTTTCCGTTTTCTTTCTTTGAGACAAGCATATGACTACTGGCAGGATCAACCAGGTTGTTTACTTTTGTTTTCTTTCTTCTCGTTCTTTTTTTGTCTTTCTTTCCTTTTCTTTTCTTTTTTCTCAGTTCTTTCTTTTCTAATTCTCTTCTTTTTTCAATATGATTTGTTGCAACGTTTTTGAAAAGGAATTTTCGTTTCATTTTTTCTTTCGTTTTCCGTTTTTCTTTCTCTGAGACAAGCATATGACTACTGGCAGGATTAACCAGCTTGCTGGCCATCGTGAGCGGCGTTGGCTGTGTGTGTGTTCCCCCTAAGAAAGGGGGAAACTAAAGGGGGTCGATCGACCCTAAACCCGGTGAGGTTGAGGAATGGGTGGCCAGGGGTGGGTCAACCGCTTAACGCGCGGCGCGCGCCGCCCGCGACGCTCTGCGTCGAGGCGCGCGCCCCACCCCTAAACCCTAAACCCTAAACCCTAAACCCTAAACCCTAAACCCTACACAGGCGAGCATGCCTTTGGCCATATACATGGGCATGCGAGCCTCCGGGCTCCGAGGTCAAGCCGAGACGCCGTTGCAAACCTGAGGGCCTGCTAGGGTCAAGCCTAGCAGGACAACCGCTGTGCGGCTCTGCAAGTGGCACGACGACCCACACCCTCTGGCGCAGCCAGTATAGGATTACCCAAAACCGTACACCTTTTCCATGTGGGGGTCGGTTTGTGCACTGTTGATAACTTTTGCATACGGGTAATAGCGGGGACCTGCCCCGGCTGGGGGGGGGTACACGCCGCGCAAAAGGACTTTTTGTAGGTCGCTTCTTGCACTGCTGATAACTTTTGCATATGGGCAATAGCGGGGACCTGGCCCGGCTGGGGGGGGGTACACGCCAAGCACAAGGAGCCTTGCAGGTCCTTTCTTGCGCTGCTGATAACTTTTGCATACGGGCAAAAAAAAAGGGGACCTGCCCCGGCTGGGGGGGGGTACACGCCAAGCACGAGGAGCCTTGCAGACAACATCAACGCGTGCTTGGCCCATGCGTGTTTGGGCAGCCGGTCTTGGTGCCTCGGCAACTCCACGCTTTGCAGCATGACCCTGGCGGCCAC